TTAACTGAAAGCTTACGCACAGCGTCTTTTCTTTTATATATCAAAATGGATGAGTTCTTGAAGGAGGTCTTGAAGRAGCCGTTGGCGGCAGTGCGCAGTTGTGAAACCTAAGGTCACAAAGATCATGTCAAAAAKATTAACCCTATTCAGACTGGGCTTTTTTTGCAATCTGTTACTTCGGGGAACTTTTTAGGCTTTCCCTCTATATCTTCAGAAATTTTCACACAATGATCGCCTACGTAAAACGAACCACCACACCCAGTCTTGATTTTAAAGATATACTAGACGATCATGGATCGCTTACGTGGGCTTCCTGTGACAATGGTGTTTCATTTTAACAAGATAGTCTTTGTTTGTAATAAGTCAAGACAGAATTAAGTTAATATGTTATCAGTTTATTACATCATAATTTTTTACCAAACTGAACTCTAAGTAAATTCTTTTCTCAGTTTTCCAAAATAACTAGCTCGACTTTACGCTCAAGAGCGTCTATATTATTCAAAATATCTGATAGGTCATATAGGTCACATAAACAATAGAAACGGTACAGTCTTGGCAGTATAACTTTGAATAATATTTTGATCATTTGAATCATGTATCTGTATCTTGTGTTTCTGTTCTTTTTTATTTGGTGTTTTTCATTAATTTGTAAATCTGGTGTTCTGTGCCATCATAAAGGTGTACCTTAGCCTTCTAATGACAGTTCATATTTTTGGATTTGTCTAAGTTTTTCAAGTTAAACAATCATNTTCCTAGCTTAAATTCACCTTATTTCATCGTTCTAATTTATGTCTGTGTTAGTTTTGATCCTTCAAGTTATCTGTAACTTCACAACTTCAGTATAAATAAGAGATACCAATATTGATGAGTTCATATTATCGAGGCGAATTAATGGCAACAACAATATCTTTTGATTTTATTTATTATAYTATCATCTGATCTTTTTATCTTATAAAACATGTGGGTGAAGTGGGCTATATCTCCCCCAATATATTGCTCAGCACACAGATTTTGAAATACATTAAAGWTTTTTTGATGAAATCCGCTAATTTGTCAAATGGTATCCGAACTCGGAATGTGCTCTGCAGTCASTGATCATTATACTTATGTTTTATCAAAGCGCCACAAATATGCACGTCCGTCCCTAGACGTTTGATTTTTATAAGCTAGATCTTTTAGCTATTGTGGATCGAAAATTTCTATTTAATGTTTTTTTTGTATTATCAGTGTTGTTGCACACTTTATTACATTTTCAATTTCTTTATTACGCTCGCAAATAGCGATGGAACCGAAGATATGGAGAAATAAAGGAAGGCGCGATATCTCTTCGCTGTCTTGTAACAAATGAATGAACGGTTGTGAGCCTGCAAGTAACAATACGACAGTACAGCTGCTCTCGCATGGTCATACAAAATGGCACCTTGTTTGAAATGACTTGAAAATAATATTTTTTGACCCCCGTTCTATGGCGTCACARTGACGTCATASATATCAGGTAATAATATCTATATCTAGATAACCAGTTAAACATCATATTTAGGCGTTACTACTCTGCTGTGATGTTATGGTTCGTTTTTATCCATGGTAACAAGTGTGACGTCACAATTGTGTTGACATCATTACCTATAGTGTCTTTGTCGTCTTTAAATAATTTGACTTCAAATCTTACTATTTTTGGCTACATCAGTATTTATGGTAAAATTTACAATTTGAGGTGTTTTTGAAATTAAAAAAAAATTAAAACAAGCAATCTTGACAAGAATATCCGTCATCTTAGGATCCGCCATCTTGKACAGCCATCTAAGATTTTTTTAATCTTATTAAAAACTAAGCATTTAGGCAAATAGCTCAAAATTTATGAAATACTTTTCAAACAAACATTTATGAATGTCAAAAAAAATATTATGGTATTGTAGAATCAGCAATGGGAGCAAGCTCAAATTGATAAAAAATGCATAGAGAAATAAGATTTAAAAATGAAAAAATTAAGCATATTTCACTTTTTTGATAACCTATGTGTCACAAACGTTACCATGGCAACACAGATGATATCAACATAAAATTTACATCACGATCTGTCCAGAAAATTTTTAGGAAAAGGCCGAATATTTGTAAAAGGCAGTAGCTGTCTTCGTTCGAAAGTTAAAAGTTACGAAGTGTCTGCAAAAAAAGATATCCTTATAAAAAAGATATGCTTAAAGAATAAGAAATATCATCATAAATTCGCGAAATAAATCAATAAGAAATATTCTTTTKATCATCAGCAGCAAATTGCACTTTCAATGGACACTTATGTGGATGGAGAATTCTTCAGAATAAGATGACCGGTGATGGACTGCTATGGACAATTGGAGGAAAAATGGTCTTCAATAATTTCAACAACGAATCAAAGGGTAATAAACCCTCTCACGTTTCTTTGTTTCTTTTTCTTTTTTTAACTTTTTATATAAAGCATCTAGTAGTAAAAGTGAGCTACACCACAATGAAATTAAATTGTATTCCATTATAGCAGCCTTTTTCAGTTGGAACATATGGCATAACCATTCCGATTTGATTTTACTTGTTATTGTCCAATTTGCATGTAAATCGTGAATTTCTTTTAAATTCGAAAGGATACGAAAGCAGCTATGTGTACACAACCATATTAAGCAACCCAACTTTGGCAAACAATCGAAMTCTATCAAGCAATCGTAGTTTACAAAACAATGGAAGCTTGGTAKGSAATGGAACTTTACCAAAACAAAGTTTGGCGAGTAATGGAAGCTTTACAAACAATGAAATCCCAGCATGCAACGAAAGCTTTGCGATCAACGAAAACCTGACCAGAAACAATGAAAGAAAGAAAGCATACCTTATTAGTCCTCAATTGAAGTCCCCACATTGCATKAACTTAACATATCAAATCTATGGAAACGGTAGTTCCCTTGAGGCTGTAATGCTTAGGCAAGGGAGATCACCAGTCTTCTATAAAGCATGGAAGCATTTTGGTCGTACGAACAAAATTAGCTCCATAAGAATTAATTTACACTATGGTGGCCCATACCAGGTCAGTGTTGTTTTATCGTATGCAATTGTACATATTTACGTAGAGTGGGTTAAATATATCCATGAAATTGGTTGCAAATTAGTGTAAAATCCTTTGTCTTCTATTGTTAAGCCTGTGCAATTTTGTGCAATTTCTTACAAAATGTTTCACGGATATATTGAATGCTCTCTATGACATTTGTATAATACCATTTCGTGGTTATTTCGCTTCAACAATTAGAAACTTACTTACTTACTGCCCGCTAATCCTAGATGCGTACTACAGCAACAAAATCCTCCCATTCCTGTCTATTCTGAGCCTTTCTTCTGTTTCTTTCCAAAGTATTCCATGTTATCCAATATCTTTCATCTCTGATAGTAACGTTYTTCGCYAGGTAGTTTTTGGCCTCTCCCTTTTCCTTTTTCCCTCTGGAGTTGAATGTAGAGCTATTCTCCTGATATTTTCCTTCTTATGCCTTCTGAGGACGTGCCCCAGCCATCTCTACTACCTCCTTTTCTCAAAAGAATTGATCTCATATTCTTCGCTTAGACTTCCTTAGTAGCTCTTCATTAGAGATTTTGTTCGGCCAAAATATTCTTAGAATTCTTTGTAGGCTAACAATTAGAAAGGTCATAGGCAAAATGTCATCTGTTTTCTGTCTTAAACTGATGTCTTATTCTCGTTTGTTTAGGTGCTGATTATTGGCAAGCCGTCTCTGTATTTTGAGAAGGACATMCTTTTATACAATGTGACATTCCTAAAAGAGATTTGCACAGATGATCAAATTTCTGCGGAAGGTATGTCGCCAATGTTTTGTCCTGGTAGAATAGCGTACGAATAGAGTACGATTGCCGTATGAGTAACCAGTTCGACAGCACGCATACAAACTTTACGGGAGTGAAACCTGTCTTAGTAAAGTCAAAGCTAGGGTWATTCCTATTGAGTCGAGCACGTCTATAGTTCAGGATGGGCTCGGCAGGTTATTTTTGCACCCTCGTGCATGTCATGAGAGAAGCAATCGTCTCTAACAAAAGAAACTATGAAATATCTTTCAGAATTTTTCAGAATAAATTCCATTCACTGTTTTGATTTATCATATGTAAGTATTTTATTTACTTACAGTCAACAGACTTCTTATGTCACTGTTTCGTCAGTTGTAGATTTTATTTCACTGTTATAAAACATCTCTATAGACCAGTCTTTGTACAATACAAGATTTCGTTCGAATCCTATCGAAGTAGTTGCATTGTTATGAAACGCTTATAATGATACAAAGTACAAATACGATTTGATATTTACCCAGTGATAAGGCAGCGTCCACAGCTAACGAAATGGTTCACGTTAAYAGTATAACGACGTAGCTCATTAGARGTCAAAWWAACTATAATTAATTACGGAATTTCTCAATGAAACAGTCACCTACGTTATTTTTAATGCGTTTCTGGATAAAACTAAAGAAGTAAGTCATGTTTTGTCACAAATCGACGTCCTAAACATAACTGCATTGCGTATACGGTATATTATGTCAATGCTTCATCAGAGGTCTATTGATTATATAATAATATACATGAAAATATTTAATTGATGGTGATTGGTTGATAGCAGTACTGTTGAAGTGTAACACCAATGTMAAAATCTGTAACACTGGTGCAAATTACACAATTTAGAAACCTGATTGGTCTATACAACAATAGGAACAAATAAAAGCCAATCAAATTGCAAATGACGTGTTTACAGCTGGTAGCAATTTTGGAGTGAAATTTCAAAAAATAATAATGGCGACCATTATTTAAAATCAAAGATTTGCTGAAGGAACCCAAAAAACAATTGAAGCTTTAAGAAATGGAAAAAACAAACAAAATACAAGCAAGAGTACATCTTTTTGGTTTAATGTTTGGTAGCCTGGTAAAAGAAAAGCAACATTGTTCAAGTGGAGAAGTTTTATAAACCCTCTGAGTTGAACATCCTCTTCGTTTTATRCCGAAGTAAAAACAAAGAGTGGAGATGATAACAAGCCAGACATCTTATGAGTCATGATAGCTGCGCTTGACAACTTAAAGGTTAATGGATACAAGTACTCGATAATCCGAGACCAAGAAGGAAAAGCAAAACTACTCCGCCAAGCTGGACGAGGAAAAAGTCCAAACAAGGCCCGGCAGCTCACGCAAGCTGAGGAAGAAGTGTTCTGTCAGAAGTAAATACTAGGAGAAAAACCCAAAGAATCTTAATCCATGTGAAGGCTACTTAACCAGCATTTTGGGCTCCGCGGCCGTAAGGAACATCATGACATGAAGATGCAAGATTTCCGTTTGGGTAAAGCCGACATCGAGTAGGAGTTTTTCGAGTTTGCAGAAGGCCTCACAAATACTAGAGCGGATGGTTTAAGCACCAAATCAAGAGATTTCCTTCCAAGAATGTTTAAAACTGGAGGTGAGTCCTATTCAACTATTCAAAGAATATCAACGTCATGATGTTCAGTTACAGAACCAAGGTCCATTTTACTTGTCAATTAAATACAAGGGGAAGCCAAACGACGAGATTTGGTACACGGTCTATATTAGCGCATGGGAATAAACAAGATCAATGGCATTATCGATACCTTATAGTCGAAGACACTTCCCTTGAATCAAGTGGGAAATTCACCAACCGAACGCAAGAAAAACACTTTTCTTGGCAAGTTAAAGAAACAACAACCAACAACCAGAACTCAAATGTTGCTTTAATCTCAAGGCTTGGGGTCTATATAGCTGAATAGTTGTATCGTTTAATTTTTTATTATTATTCCAATTCGTCGTCAGTGTGTGAATTTTTGATGTATATTATTAATAGGCACAAAGATGGTTTCGAGTTCAATTTCATGGAATCAATTTGAGTTTGTTTTTCAAATAGGCCATAATTGCTACCTCCTTTTCTCGATCTTGATGAGAATCTTAGAAATAGATTCTTGTGCTCTAATTCTTTGTTTTGATTTAATTTTTATGCCGCGACTCATACTTTTAGTCTCCTTCGCAGCTTGTCCTTTTCAGCTACAAAAGGGYAATCTGCGAATCGAACTATTCTTTTAATTAAAACGGCATACATTAACTATAAAACTTGTGAATTTCTCATCTGCTTTCTATGTGTGTGAATTGTGTCTCGTAGCAAACTGTGATTTTGAGGAAAATATGTGTATGTGGAGCAATGAAAGGAAAGACGACTTTGATTTGGTACGAGTTTCAAACAGCCATGCATGGTCCAAGTACAGCAGTGAGTACACCAGTATATTCTTCCTGCTATTTATAATTTATGACATGTCAGAGGAATTTAGGGACTGCGCAATATTTATCAGGAMTCCAGAGGGGGGCAACATCTAATTTTATGAGCTTAAAGATGGGGTCTTAAGCGAATAGACAAAGAACCATTTCACTGGTTAAAATATTGTGAATACTTATAAATTTATGATGTACAGCAGTGTCCAGTAATTAGTCTGAACAAAACAAAAAAAAACAAAAAAAACAAAACAAAAAACATACAACAACTCAGATCCAGCTGTAACATGTCTTCCAACTAAACTGGTAGAGTATTTTGTCCTCGAGTGATTGACTAGCGACAAATGTGAACAAAATTTGCTGACTACCGACAAGAACATATTTACTGACTGGCGACATTTTCCAAAAAAACAAATATTTTTATGCAATTATTTACAATGTAAAGGCATTAGCTTCTTGAATATAACTTTTTTTTTATTTTCAAGGAACTACATTCGAAGTATTCCGCGGAAAAACAAATTTTGCTTCGGATCAGTGGGTTCTTGAAGTTCTGATTGGCCACTCTAGAACTTTGTGTGGCATCCAATTGACCAATCAAGACTCAAGGATTCAATTGTTTGCATTTTAGAAAGCATTCTGTTGATACAACGCACCGTAGTAGATTCATTCAAACTTAATGTTCATCGACTTTTTTTAAATAACCGACTACCGAGAAATGCCTAGAATTTTTTAACTGACTACCGACAAATGCTTGAAATTTTAACTGACAACCGACATC